CTTGGGTACATAGGCGCAGCGGTCCTTGCCGTAGTTGACGCGCTTGCCGGCCCATGCGGGGTCCGTCGGGAGGGTGTTGACGACCTGCGGGAGGATGCGTAAGCAAAGGCGAAGGAGGATGGTGACGAACAAAGGGGAGGACACACCTTCGTAGCGACACTAATACTCAAAAAGTGCACAAACCCAATGTTCTTGTCCCGCACGATCTTGACCTGGTCGATGAGCCCAAAGCGCCCGAGCTCGTCGCGGAGGGCCTCCTCGGTCATGCCCTCCTCGAGGCCGCCGAGGTAGACGTTGCGGGAGGCACCGCTAGGAGGGGATTAGTAAGGTTATGGGGAGGAGAAAGAGAAAGGATGAGAGGAGGGAACGAGGACGACACACGAAACGAGCACGTCGACGCCGAGGACAAGCGCGGGGGAGGAGAACAACATCCAAGTCCTTCCTCCCCGCGCAAGAAACATACGCCGATACTCCGAGATAGGACGTCGACGCGCGCGTGGGGAGGCAAAGAAAAGGACGGCCCTTCCTATCCTCCGTGGGTGCGCGACAGAGAATTGTCGCCGCCCGAGTCCGCACACGCCGAGGACGAGCGCCTGGGATAACGACTCCCGCCGGGCAAACCGACTCCTAGGTCGGACGGCGCGCGCCCGCGCGAAGTTTCTTCTCCTCCCGCAGAACGACGCGACGAGGCACCTCCCCCCCTTCGTGCCCGCTCCACACCCGTTCGATCAAGCGACGGCGTCGACCCGTATGGACGTAAGAGAAATGCAAAAGAAACGCACCTCTGCGCAATCGCCTGCATCACCTGCGCGGGCACCGGGCTCGGCTTGCCCCAGCCAACTTTGAGCTCCTGCCCGTGGAGGGAGAGTTTCCTGGCGACGATGTTAGCGTTTGTTCGAGTGGGGAAGGAGAGAGGAAAGGATAGGAGGGAGGGAAGGAGAAGGAGGGAAGACAGGCCCCGCTCGGCTCCACGGCCAACAATGGGTCCAAGCGATAGCCGCTACGACGTCGTTGCCCGGCTGCTCGTGTCGCTCCGCCTGGCCGCACCGACGCAGGACGCGCGGAGCCCGACGCCGTACTCGTGCCGCCCGCAAGACAGAACTCCGCGGCGTGCGTTGTCCATCTCCCCCGGCGAAGGCGAAGACGAGCACCGCGGACGCACACTCGACTCGACTCGCACCACAACGGCCTCTCGCCCGATGCCACCCACACCACCGTACGCAGTCGAATCGCACGGCACACGTCCAAGTCGAGTAGAATCGGGGGAAAAAATGACGATAAGAAATAGACGCACCTCAAACTCGCATCCGCAAAAAACGCCGCCGCCGTCGGGGCATCCAAGAACGACAGGAAGACGCACGACTTTTCGGGGAGGACGCGGATCGACTCGAGGGGGCCGAAGTGCACTGTGGGTTTTTGTGAGTAATTCTTTGCGGGTAAGAAAATATAAAGACATGAAGGACAAGATTGGGGGCGCGGCCCCATCTGCGGGCGATCAAGACGCGAGGGATGTGCATCTCCACCGAGACGACGACGACGAGTGGTGCCGGAGACCCCCTCGTCCAGACGCGTACGTTCCTCCACTCCCGAAGGCAAGAAGCGAGGCAGGCGGGTGCGTCTGTCACCCCTCGACGACGGCGGACGACGACGCATGATGGAAGCGAGATAGCTCATCGCCTCGTCCTCAGCGCGTCCGTCCAGCGCCTCGTCCTCGTCCTCATCCTCGCGCGCATCTCCTCCTCCTTTGGCCACCCTCGTCTCCCCGTCCACCCTCATCTCATCTCATCTCGCTCGCTCGGACCGGAAAGTTGAAGGGCGAAGGAGACTCACCCAAATTAAGTAACTCATCAACGCTCGCGCTCGGCGGCAAGTTCCCAATATACACCGTGCGCCCGGCTTGTGGCGCGCCGCCGGGGGACATCACTAGAAACAAAACGCAGGAAGGTCAGTATGGGGGTCGTCGTAATAATTGGAGGCGCAAGCAAATGAGATGCAAGGCGCGCGAGGACGGTGTCCACGCCCCGCGCGTAAAAAACGCCTCCGCGCGTAAAACGAAGCGTACCGCGCCGCGCCGCGCGCAAGTCGTCGTGCATAATTCCACACAAAAGTAACGAGAAAAAAACGCAAACAAAAAACGCACTCTGCATCCCCCCCATCCCCATCCCCATCGCGCTCATCTGCCCCGCCTGCGCCGGGTTCGCATACACCGCCTGCGCCGCCGGGATGTTCACGTTCAGGCTCGGCAGGCGCTGCAGGGGGGAGAACGCCTGCTGCTGCTGTTGTTGTTGGGTGAGGTTTTGCCCGGCGGAGGGGGTGGTGGTGTTTGTTGTTGGCTGCATCGAAAGGTGATGAGTTGGGAAAACGGGACAAGGGCGGGACGAAGAGAAGTAAGGGAAGCAGCGAAGGCAGAAGGAAGGGGAGAACGAGAAGAAACAAAAGGGAACGCGGAAAGGAGTAACGGCAACGGCACCGAGAAAGGAGGGAGGCAAAGGCCGAGGCGCGGACAACAATCGGCCGATATGTGTGTACACGCGCGCGGGAGGGATAACCTCCGTGATCGACGTGGGCGTGGGCGCAGGGAAGGCGCCACGAGGTTCGGATGATAGATCGCCGCCGTTTAGAGGAAGACCCCGAATGGGATCAAAAGGAAAGAAAGATGTAAGCAAAAGAAGGCCAGAAAATAAAATAAAGCGGTAGTGATCGTGATAACGACCAAGCGTGGACACGCATATTGCAGCATGCCAGCGATTGAGGAAGCGGAAAGAAAAGAAAGTGCGAGTAAGAGTAAGAAGGAAGAAAAGGACGTGGACCGCCCAGGTGCTCGAGCTGCTGAAAGAAATAGCGCCTGCGCTCCACCAGGGAAAATGCACCCAAAACAAGATAAAAACAGCCAGCGAAGTCGCTGGTAGCAATCCATCCGTGCGTGATAGAGTGAGTACCGTGTACGCCGCATTTGTATTCGCGCGCGGACACGCAAAACGCCGCGATTGGGCGACGAAAATAAGGAAATAAATGGGAGTCGAAAGAGGAAAAAGGCCCAAAAGAAAAAGAAAAAGGCAGCGGTGCGGAAAGGGTAGCGATGGGCAGAGAGACGGACGTAGGCGCCCGACGCGCGCGTGGAGTGTCCCAGACGCCAGCGAGGCCAGCGAGCGACGCCGGATGCTTATCAGGTCCGACCGAAGAAAAAAGGAAAGGGGTGTCGGTGCGCGCGCACCCATCCGCACCGAAAAAAGGAAGACGCACGACGTCAAGGGACAAGACGTTGAGTCAGCCCCGCCCATAAAAAGTACGAAAGGAAAGGAAAAAGACGCCAAAAACGCAAAACGACACACACCTGGAACCCCTGCCCACCCCACATCCCATACGGGCTAAACTGCGCATACGGGCTCTGTCCGGCGCCCACAACAGGACTCTGCCCTCCCTGCCCCGCCTGTGCCTGTGCCTGCGCCTGTGCCTGTGCCTGCGCCTGCTGATACTCGTTCTGCTGCTGCGCATTAGCAGCCGCGAGCGAATGGGTGTTGATGCTGAGCTGCGGCGTGGCATAGAGCTGCTGCTGGCCGCTGTACTGTGCGCCCGCGTTCGCGCCGGGGCCGTAGCCGTAGTTTGCGTACGCGCTGGCGTTGTTGGCGTTATTGTTGTTGTTGTTGGGGGACGCAGAGGAGGGGGAAGGGGCGGATTGGTTTGTGGGGGACCACCTGGCCTTTTTTGAGTCGGGGCCGGCGGGGGTGTCCATCGAGCGCTGCTTGCGTTTCGTCGTCACAAGAAGGGAATCCAGAGAATCCACGCCAATTCAACGGCGACAAAGGAATTGAAGGTGAAAGTGGCGAAAAGCAAAGGCGAAAGGGGAAGACAAACAAATGATCATGAGTGCGACGAAATATTGCATAGCAACCCGGCTAAACGCACCTTCATCATGTCGATATCAAACGAGTACGGCGGGTACGGCGCAGAGGCGGGGAAGGCGGCCTGTCCATGTCCGTGCGTCATCCCAGCGATTACAGGAAATTCAATGTACAGTGAAGAGAGGGAAAGCAACGAGTGTCAGGGTGCAAAAGCAAAGGGTGTCAATCAACGAGTGTGTCTTTGGGCCAACGAGTGTGTGGGGTGGTGCAATAAAGAGACACGCACAAAAGGGATTGGGAAGGGGAAAACAATCGCTGCGAGACGACACGTCAAAGAAGCAAGGTACCTGATGCGCACGGACCATACAATGTTCTATTAAGGGTGTACATGCTAGCCCTATTTCTAACGAAGCAGGATGTATGAAGGGATGCATGCAGGAGGAGTGCACACCCCCAATTTTCTTATCGCAGGAGACTCTCCACGCGACCTCTGTGCGCTGGCAGGAACACGGCAAACACCGATCGCGTATCTCTTGATGCAGGGTCCTGCTTCTCTTGTTCTTGTTCGAGATCTGCACCGACTCTATAGCCAAGCTCAAGCTGAAACGGAGCCAAACCAGATCCAAGCGCTGTAAAAAAACCAGAGTTTTGAAGATATCGCGCCTCCGGTGGGATTCGAACCCACCTCTCCTCGTTAATCTCTCAACTGCCGTTGCACAATCTCGAGGCGACCTACACTGATCCACAGAGGCTCCATGCTCTACTCCCCGTTGCTCCCAGATACATCTCATCCTTAATTGATCACACAATAGGCCCAGGAACATTTTTTTAAAAAATAGTGATGCATCAAGCCCAATCATGCATATGATCAGTCACAGGAATCAGGATGTACGTGTAAACTTGGAATCCCCGAAAAAAAAAAGGTCATGTTTGGAGATCCAGGCCTCCGGCGGGATTCGAACCCATATCTCCTCGTTAATTCTCCGTACGCGTTATTAGTACTCTAACAATCTCGAGGCGATCTACCCTGATCCACAAAGGCTTCATACCCTATCCCTTCCCGCCATATACATACGTGTGCATGCGACTCGGCATTCAAAAGAACAACGGAAAAATCCTGTTCTTTTGAGAAAAAAAAAACTTGCCACGGTTTAATCATGCCTCCGGCGGGATTCGAACCCACATCTCCTCCAGAAAACTTTGAATTCCGAATACATAATGCGAAGGAGTTCTACCAGCTGAGCTACGGAGGCATGGATGCACTTGAGTCCTCATCTTTACTAAGCTTAAGGGTAGTTTCAATGTCAATGCGCCCAGGACAAAAACTGTAACAAGGTTGAAAGAAAAAAAAACCCAGACCACGGAAGTTGAAATTGTGACAACGAAACGTTGGGGACGGCCGAGTCAGAAAAAAAAAAAAAAAGTGTAAGAGCTCAATTGGTCAGGTCTCTGGTGGGACTCGAACCCACATCTCCTCGTTAATCTCGATTGCCGTCGCACAATCTCGAGGTGATCTACCCTGATCCACAGAGGCTTCATATCCTATGCCTTCCGTCCACATTATGGCGGTCAGAGTGCCCCTTTAATAAAAGGGGTACAAAGAGTCCACTTTAGTGTGGATTTTTGGCCCACAAGTAGAAATTTTTGCAGTAAGGGATTTTTATTTCACACAAGAAAAAAAGTTCTGCATTTCACACTCCTGTTGCAGAGAGGTGTGTAAAGTGTTACTCAAAAGTACACTTTTTTTGCCAGTGCGGTAAGTGGCTGTGCTAAGCGGATCAAAGCCTCCACTGATGTGCAAGCCCTCCTATTATGAACTGGTATGGTCTACAGGGTGGCAGCGAGCCGGTCGATCTTCAACTACCTCCTATCAGACCTGCCGCCATCGGAACAGCGCATGCCATCAAGCCGAGGACAAGCCGAGTTTGTTTTTATCCGACAAAGGATTTTTTTCTGTGGTGCTTGAAAGTGAACACTCTGAGTGAAAAAAAGCACACAGTACACTCAATACTTAAAAACCTTTTTACTCATTGAAAATTTTGCACTTTCGAGTCTCAAAAGTTGGTGTAAAAACAGACTGTTTACACCGCTTTTATTAAAGGGGCACTCTGACCGCCATACCACATGCGTGCACGCGAACCGGCATCCAAAAGAATAAAAATAAAATAAACCTTCCGCGATTCCATGCCTCCGGTGGGACTCGAACCCATATCTCCTCGTTGGTTCTCCGTTAACCACCCTAACAATTTAAAGCAATCTACCCTGATCCACGAAGGCTTCATACCATATCCCTTCCCACCACATGCATGCATGCGAATCAGCATCCAAAAGAACAACATAAAAATCCTGAAAAATATATATTTTACTCTGTCATCGCATGTCTCCAGCGGGACTCGAACCCACATTTCCCCCATTGAATACCAACATTTTATAGGAATTCCAAATCGAACTTGAAAAAGGTTGCGGGGGATTAATTATGCCTCCGGTGGGAGCTGAACCCACATCTCCCCGTTAATCTTCCAAGAAAGACTCAAGATATCTCGAGGTGATCTACCCTGATCCACGGAGGCTTCATACCCTGTTTCCTTTCTCCCCGTATACATTTCTATACCTCCGGCGGGACTGGAACCCACATCTCCTCGTTACCTTGCCTTTACGTTTAAAATATCAAGGTGATCCACCGTGATCCACAGAGGCTTCACACCCTGTGTCCTTCTTCCTGATGATATCAGGGTGCTCAAACCCAATCACATCTGTGAGCGCGGTTAGTACTAAGTACAAATCCCCCCCCCCCCCAAAAAAAAAAAAAAAAAAAGACAAAAAATCGAAAAAGGCGGGATTGGATCCATGCCTCCGGTGGGACTCGAACCCACATCTCCTCGTTAACTTCCATATGCATAACATGTATGATCTTGAGGTGATCTACCCTGATCCACAGAGGCTTTATACCCTACTCCCTACTCCCCACTACTCCCATATGCATCCTATCCTCAATTCATCACATAAGTAATAGGTCAGGAACATAAAAAAAGTAGTCATTAAGCCCAGTCACCGGAATCAGGATGTACGAGTAAACTTGGAATCCCCGAAAAAAAAAAATCGTCGTGGTCAATCCATGCCTCCGGCGGGACTCGAACCCACATCTCCTCGCGAACTCTACTTTTTTTGTAACAATCTCGAGGCGATCTGCACTGATCCACAGAGGTGTTATACCCCGTTTCCTTACACAGCCGGCAAGCGCCATGACCGCGGCTTCATGGCGTTTGACCGGCGTGGGACCGACACTGGCCATGGCATTGGCCAGGCGTTGGCTGGGCGTTGGCCAATTTGAACATCTCACCTTCAGCGGTTCTTGTTTTCTTTCCCTTTCCTCCCTCTAAAAAAAATGTTTGGAACTTGCAGGAAGCTTATTTCATCAACTTAGTTTCATGCTCTTAAATTTCCCTACACGTTATCGAGTCCTGGGCTCAACCCAGATGCAGAACCAATCCAATGTGAGACACAGGTTGGAGGAGGCAAAAACCAAGGTATGGTGTTGTATGTGCTCTCTTAAATTTTCTGCAACCTCACCTGACATTGTTCAGAGTCAACTTACGGCCGTGAAGAGATAGATGTGTGAGACAAGGGTGAGAAAGTTTGTTACGCTTTGTGAACGGCTAAGCCTTCCCACGCTGACAAGAGAACAAAGAAATTGGCCAACGCCCAGGCAACGCCTGGCCAACGCCATGGCCAGTGTCAGTCCCACGCCGGTCTAACACCATGAAGCCGCGGTCATGGCACTTGCCGGCTGTGTTACTCCTCCATACATCAGTAATAAAAAAGAAGGACCAAAAAAGAGCTCTTGTCCAAAAACAAAAAAAGGCCATGTTTGGAGGTCCAGGCCTCCGGCGGGATTCGAACCCACATCTCCTCGTTAATTATCTGTGTACTCTCATAACAATTCCAGGTGATCTACCCTGATCTACAGAGGCTTCATATCCTATGCCTTCCCACCATATATGTGTGCATGCGAATCGGTATCCAAAAGAACAACGGATTTTTTTTTTTGAAAATAAAACTTCTACTCTGTCAGCGCATGCCTTCCGCGGGATTCGAACCCACGTCTCCCCGTAAATATGCAACACAGCAAGCAATCACATAACTGGGGTGATCTACCCTGATCCACAGAAGCTTCATACCCTACTACACTACTCCCGTATGCATCCCATCCTTAAATAATCACATATATAATAGGGCCCAGGAACATAAAAAACAGTGGTACCTTAAGCCTAGTCCAACCTGAATTGAACACGTACATGACTCGGAGGTCAGGATAATTTTATTAGGACATACTAGTAGACTTTGAGCCCCACCCCCCAGATCCAGAATGCCTCCGGTGGGACTCGAACCCACATTTTCTCGTTAATTTTCAAACCTAAAGCCCAAGATATCAAGACGATCTACACTGATCCAGGGAGGCTTCATGCTTCATACCTTGTTTCCCTGTTTCTCACTCCTCCATTAGGCAGCAGGCATCTGGACTGGGTGCCAGAATGAAAAAGAAGTGCAATGAGGACAAAAAAGTTGGACATTGCTGTTGTATGCTCCAGTGGGATTCGAACCCACCTCTCCTCGCTAATTTCAATCAGCGCATCCTCAAGAGATCGAGACGATTTACACTGATCCACAGAGGCTTCATACCCTACTCCCCACTGCTCCCATATGCATCCCATAATTCCCATCCTTAAGTGATCACATATATAATAGGGCCCAGGAACATAAAAAAACAGTAGGTGCCTCAAGTCCAGCTCAACGCGTACATGACTCGGAGGTCAGGAATTAGGAAATACTAATAAACTTTGAACCCCACCGCACCCCAAAAGAAAAAGTAGAAAAAAATGCAAATCCAGAATGCCTCCGGTGGGACTCAAACCCACATCTCCTCATTAATTTTCAAAGCAGCAAGCCTCTTTAAGATATTGAGGTGATCAACACTGATCCACAGAGGCTTCATAACCACTTGGTGCTGGCTCTATAGATCACACACCTTTCCATCTGACTTTCATTTTCCTAGCATTGGCTCACTGGCAAGAACACAGATGTTAATCTTTATCAAACTTGACTTCACACAATCTCGAGGCGATCTACATTGATCCACAGAGGCTTCATGCCCTGTGCTTCCTCCCCATATATATCATATAATAACTGGGACCACAGAAAAGAAGTGCAAGCAGGGGGAAAAAATTGCCAAAGGCCTGCAGTGGGACTTGAACCCACATCCCCCCGCAAATATGCAGCTTCGCAACTATTGACATAACTGGGGTGATCTACATCCACAGAGGCTTTATAACCAACTCGGTGCTAGCTCTACAGAGGACGCACCTTTTGATCTGAGACTTTTATTTGCCTAGCATTGGCTCACTGGCAAGAACCAGGATGTTAGTGTGATTGGTTAAACCACTGAGCATGGTCTTCTTATCTGAAATTGTACTTGACAGCTACTCGACAGGTGCGTGACAAGCGAAAGAATTCGACATGGGCCGCAAATCTTATCTTTTGGTTGAAGCTGCGCTTTAAGCAAATGTCGATGCTTCTGGGCCGGAACGCATCCAACGCCCATAACTTACGGATTGTCCCATGGGAACTGGACTTGACTTGGCCAGATGAATTATACCGCCGGCCTTGCATGGTGCTCTCTGCAGTTTCGTGGGTTACTCTAGTGCGTGTACCTAAGTTTTTTTTTTGTACCGAAGTCTTGTTCAACACATCTTCCCCGTCGTTGAATTGATGATTCGCGCTGGCCTATAGGTCCTAGATGTTCCTTATCGCATGCACAACCTATCCATGTACCGCGCCAGGCAAGACTTCAAAGTTATTATTTTTCTTCAAGGCGATCCCACCTTCGCGGATGTCCGCCATAGCCCATGGTCCGTTTTGGTCCTTGTTTGGTCCGTTGACAGCCAACGGCGGTCGCCGCTTGGCCGCCGGCATCTGTCTCGGTAACCCAGACGTTCTAGCTCAGTCACCTCCGCCCGCTTTATCTTATCTCGGAATTTGTTCCGGCTGTTTGACATAAATGATAAGAAAATGATAGACGGTGACTTCGCTAGAACGTCTGGGGCATTTCGTATAGTGATACCCTGGGTGGCGTCACACCATCTTCCCCCTTCCCCTCCCCCTCCCAAATTGCCCCAGAGGTTGCTGAAGATCATTCTCCTAGATCCCTGCATGCCCTCCCAATTTTTTCCGGAATTTTAGGCCCGTTTTGGCACCTCTTTTATGGTCCTCAAGATCAGGTGTTTTGGGCACGGCCGCCGCACAGCAGATGTCAAATTCACTGAAACTCGTCCAAAGAAAATTCGGAAAAAATTACCATCAGTTTATATTCATGTAGACAGCCCTTTCAGCCAAATCCCAACTCATTCAATGGCCTCTGAGGTGCACACAACGCGAAATCGAGAGCGGTGTGACATTTGATGGGTGACAGCACCCAGGGTATCACGGACGAAATGCCCCAGACGTTCCGGTGTGATCTCTGCACATCTTTTCTTATCATTTATTAAAACTCCGCTGATCTACAGATAAGATAAGAGATCACACCCGGAACGTCTGGGTTACCGAGACAGCGCCGGCATATAACTCAAAATTTGACTGATGGTTTCCATCACCGCACTGTCACATCACAGACTCACCGTGCCTGAAATTGGACCATTGTTGTCTCCTCTCCGCCCTCTCCGTTATTGGTTCCTGAACTTCCATGAAAGGTGCCACTCGATGAGTGCCACTGACATTCAAGGACAGCTGTACGTGTTTAAGAGTACTTTCGCTTATCGATCGCCGACTGCGTCGAGCAGGATTGTCGGCGCTTTTGACATTTCGCCCTTCAGTGCGCGCCTTCTAAGTCCGCCTCAATCTAGAGCTCATACCCTCACCCAGCGCTCCTAGTTTACGATCACCTCCTGACGCTCGAGTGGGAAATCTCACGGTATTGGGGCGAGGCGTTCACCTTGACCGTACCCAATGTACTGTTTTTTGCCAACCGATATGGCACACTATTTGGCAACATTCCTGTCATTATTCCGTATTTCTGGAACAGTCAGACCTTGACAAGAAAAATAACGGTCAATTGAAATTTCCTTCGGTTCAGCAGCATACTAAACCTCACTAGACGTGCGGCTTATCATTATTTCTCGTGAATCCGGATAAGTTGACGGTGTGTTTCGATTAGATGTCACAAGTTGGAGTCGTACCACCAATACTTCATCGTTGCGACTCAGCTCTTGGTCGGAGGTATGTACGTTTGTTTGACAGCGTAACCTCAAGCCCATCCCTTCTCAGTAATGCTCTTTCTGCGGACCTATGCGCTATATGAGCGGAGCAAACGCGTCCTCGTGTTGATGCTTGGCGTGGCTGTCGGAACTGTGGCTGTTGGGCTTGTACGTCGCCCTCAGCCTATCATATGCAATACAACTGACGAAAAACATTACAGTGGTCAGTCATCACGGACACATCGGATGATACCAGCATGATTCTTCATTTCGGATGCAACTTCACAACATCTCGCTCTGAGTGCGTCTATATTCTATCTTTGGTCTGAAGTCTCTCCCTCTGAATTGAGATTATCAGAGGGAACAGCCTCGCCGTGGCTTGGGCTGGTGTCACCGTATATGACTCCACGATCTTTCTCCTCACGTTGTATAAAGTATTTGGTCGGCATCGTGCCAATGGACTGGATCTCTTCACCGTATTACTACGCGACGGTGTGGCCTTCTCTCTCAGCTCCTCCGGTCGTGCTTCTGACGCCTTTGTGTTAGGTTCCCTCTACTTTGGGTACTTCATTTTCTCCTGCTGCTCCTTAGACTCCCTCTGACAACCACACAGAGTCATGGTCATGTCTAACCTAGCCAACATTCTAACACTTGTTGTGAGTGCAAGGCACAGTTATTTGCGTTTACCATATCCGTTAACCAATGCCCCTCAGATCGGCAACGTATGTATCTCATTCTGAAGTTCATCGGCACGAATTTATTGAACGCAATACAGCCTGATAGCCGGGGGATTGCTACAACCTTTACGAATATGTGCGTCCGCTACCTTGCTCGGTCGCTGTAAGATGGTCTCATCCAGGGTTTATTCATCCTGCTAGCATCTCGTCAGTCATGATAGCCCGGCTCATGCTCAACCTGCGCGACCCCGTGCTCACGCACATGTCCGGGCGACTGCCGCA